ACCAATACTGCAGTGGTGTTGCTCTGTGTGCCCGGGTGGGGGGCGGCGGTGGATTTTGCATTTAATATCAGTATCTTCTGCGCGTTTCTGTGAACAGGAAAATGAAATACGTCACCAATATCACACCCTATTCAGAAGAGTTGCAGGTGTATCCTTAAAAAGCGGACATGAGCACACTATTGTATGTTCTTACAAAGAGGCTTTAACGAGCTCGTCTTCATACTTCGTAGTTGTGTTCTTTTAAAAAAATCTGAAGAAGTAATCGATTTCTCATTGTGTCCTTTTTAAACTAATATGCAAATCAAGGCCCGTTTAAAGATTCAACCCATCTTTCGAGCCACGTATTTAAAAAAGTTAGGACTAGCAACTTCCTGGATCACAAGACCATTGTTTTTATATATTTCTTATGCGAAAAGAAAAAGTCGTAAATGTGCTTTTTTTTTGAAAGGGGCCCTGTGCACTAAGGTGACCCAGGTAGTTCATCACTCAACTGCAAGGCAGAATTGGGAACTCCACCGTCTCCCACATGCAGACAGTGGAAATACTGGAAAGTATTCCAGATCTGTAATTCTCGCTCCAGTAACAGAGCGCTTGAACTCCACAGACGGGGTCACTGGAGGTCAAACTCGCCGTGCGTGGTCACGTGATCAGCCGTTAAAGACGGCGCTATATCTCGCGAACGAAAGCAGCACAAACGCAGCACTAACGAATGAGGTGGGTTTCATCGGTTGTGCTGTTTGTAGGGTGGCAACTTCACGGAGCTTCCTTCATCTGTATGCTGTTTGCAAACTGTGCCCAATCATCCAAAATGACTTTAATGTGGGCAATTTCGTACTTAGCCTGCAAAGTCACTTAAGTGTGACTCTCCCTGCTTGTACTCCATGAATGATGCCGAACACATTTAACAAGTATGTGTATACTTCATTTTTCTACAGACTTGGATAAATAGAGGTTCTGTATATGAGACACGCTAGCCCCTCTGCAGTCCGTACCACAGAGGACAGGGGCTCCTGGAGAGTCTGGGTCTGTTGCTCACAGTTTGTGGGCAAGTCTGCACAGCCTGAACTGTGACCTCTCTCCCTCCTGTCTCCCCTGTTTCTCCTTTCTCCCTCCT